TAGATAGATAGATAGATAGATAGATAGATAGATAGATAGATAGATAGATAGATAGTCAATTGCGTGCATTGCACATACAGACCACAGTGAACACGCGTCAGAGACCAAAGTAAACACACATGTTTGTCTGGTCACCTAAAAAAAACCATGACCCAACTGCGTAACCTTCGTCAGGCCGATCGATCGATTGATCTCATCGATCAGGAAGGGAAAGAAGGATCGAGTGAAGGGATTACCGACAAGAAATAAAACACTGGCTAGTTGCATGGGCCACAGTGTGTTTTTTTGTGTGTGTTTCTCTTTCAACAGTCGATATTATTCCCTGGAGAATCTACAAGTATAACTTCGATTTTATAATAATAATAATTATTTCATCGTTGTATTTGTGAAACATTCACCTGGTGCGTGTTACTGAAAATTTGTCTTTATAAAACCAGTCTTTTATCTGTGTATCACTGGCATGGGCTTTAGTTGCATGTGCGAGAGCTAAAAGTAACGTTCGGCACATAGGGTTCTCATTTCTAACTGCTGTGGTGAAATAGCACCTCTTTTTTTAATCTCGATCAATCGATCTTTTATCTGTGTAGGGGTGACTTGAGTCCTTCTTGTATGGGTAAGGACTAAAAGTAACGTAAATGTATTTTAGGACTCTTGTTTGTCTGTTGTTGCTGTTGTTGTTGGGTTTGTTTGTTTGTTTGTTTGTTGTTGTTGGGTTGTTGTTGTTTTTTTTTGGGGGGGTCTTTTTAGTTGTTCTTTTGAATACAATAGCTTTCATTTCTATATCGATTAATCAGTCTTCTTTTTTTTCAATGTAAGTGTTTTTACGCTCCCTTCGAAAAAATTTAGATCACTTAGCATCCGACCTTCAACCCTAGGCTGAGAGATGGATATATAACGTCCCAGAAAAAAGACCGAGATACTCGATAAAAATTCTGCCCACTCTGGAACCGAACTCAGCTCTTCTGCGTCCGCCTAACCGCTAAACAACAGACGTCAGTAATCTTTTCAGCTACATAGGACTGACATGAGCCCTCTTTGTATGGGAAAAACGACAGTAGTCACTAACTGGAAATTGTGAGGGTGCCAATTTTAAAAGCTTGTGGACTCCTAACTTCATAACATTTGTTTGACTGGTGGTTTATTGTTAAGTGTTGTTGAATAGGAAATCTAACAACACTAAATCAACCAACAGTTGAAAAGAAATACAGTTATAATGACGTAAATGTATTTCATTGGGATTCTTATTTTTAGCTATTGTTGTGCAATCGCATTCGTTTTTTGCTCTTGACATGGCGTAATAGTTTTATGCTCGCCGGGTGCCGGTTCCCTTTGCGTACTTGGAATAAGACTCGTATCATTTACTGTAATAAACTCGAGATACAAAAACAAACATGACTGTTTGTCTGTGTGTCTGTGTGTTTGTGTTTCTGAGTAAGTGTGCATGTACGTGTATGTGTGTGTGTGTGTGTGTGTGTGTGTGTG